ACTGCATGGGGTGGGGGCTTCTAACCTCATTAATAATCATAACTATTATAACTCAAGCACTGTTGTAGTTAGAATGATGAATCCTGTGTTATTATGACAATGTTGAACAAGAGATTTGATTAAAATAACAGATGACCATACATTAATAACCTTTATATCTCAAATAAATATATGGAACCAACTGCATTTCGACCTCATGGTACTAATCATTCAAACTAATTGTGTATCATTTGACCTCATTATTTATGGCATGTATACTTGGGCCCCTGTGACGCTGCTTGCAGCTTTAATTTTATTTGCAATTAATCTTTTGTCATTTATACTTATTCTATATCGTAAATCATATTTTTAATATTCTTATCTTGTACAACATTCATGGCCCAAAAGCAAACTTTTGTCAATTAGCTTTTGAAATCTCACAGAGTTTTTGTTTTTATTTACCCGGTATATCAATACTTTGGGCTACAACATTTTTGCACGCAACTACCTGCTAACTTAACTTTTAGTAATTTTTTGAGCTATTGATGTAGAAAGGGGAGCATAAAGTTACCCTGGTAAACAGTTGATAAATCAAGTTACATATTATCTGTCAAAAAAATTATTTATTATCACCAGTGATGTTACCGGCTGCATAGGGTGAGTGAAATACATGTACTTTTTGACATTACCCCCGGTACTGGTAAGAATATTTTCTAAAAAAATTACTAACATTATTGACCTGAAAGAATTATTAGTACCTTTAGAATATAATTATTTCTGTACATGTATTGCAACATTAATATTCATTATGTAATATTTTTATTTATTTCTAACATTTGATTTATTTGTATATTCATTATAGGGTTTTTGCTTGATGCAATAAATAGAATATCTACAGTCATCATACTGAAGTCACCTATTCTTTTAAATTCAATTATGCACCACTCCTATTAGTCACAGTGAATCACACAAATATCGACAGAAAAATCGGGTATCAAGTGAAAAAAAACTGTGTATTTGCATTGCCATGATCAAATCATGTCAGAGATATGGCCCTGGAACTGGATTTGTATAAACAAAATGGCCACCAGTCGGCCTCTTTAAATCTGATCTGAAAGAACAATATAGGTCTCTGTCATGACTAAATGCTGGGGATGTTGTTTGTAACCATACCGTCTATATCATGATAAATACAATAAGGACTCACCAGTTTTCGTCATTTCTGCAACTAACTGTGACATCTTAGCCAAGCATGCAATATCCTTAGAGACCTCTAGCTGCTTAGCGATTACTTCCAATACATTCAATGAACATAGCTTGTTACTCACAGAGGCTTTAGCAAAACAAAAAAACACATTCTAAGTAAGAGAATGAATAACTTTATAAATTGTTGCTTGAATTAACAAATTATTTTTATCATTACTTCTTATATTTTTTACGCATATTTGTTATAAATATAATCCTACCATTATCATTTACACTTCGTAACATTTCATCAAGACTGGTCTCCACATTGCCTTCACCTATCTTTAGATTTTCAACAGCTGATGTGATGTCATCTAAAACAAAAAAAAAAAAATTATTGTATTTTCTCTATTATGTGCACAAAACAATATTTACACTTATTCTAAATATGTCATTTATGTAAGCAGATGCACTACTAATAGAGTAAATACGGTATACTGTATTTGCTGCTTAGTCACAAATACCACTCAAAAACTGCTAACATTTTTGGAAAATAACAAACTCATTTATGTAAGACAAAATCTAATAGGTTGTCACTACCAAATACACATGTTAGATATTGCGTGATTGGTCAGTTTCCAGAATTGGGTAGACAATTTTAGTGAACACTCAAATCACTTTCAATTCAACTTACTGATACTGTATTGTCATGTTTATTTTATTTAAATTGTTTTATCAATACACAATTCATTTATCATAAAACCATTGGTTCAGTTTACTTAAAACTTACAAATTCAACCATTCGGAAATCGTATTGCTTTGCAAGAAATACGTAGCAGTCACTTTATGCACACTAGAGACCAACTTGGCCAATCATAAGCCTTAGCAGATGAATAACGCAGTCAGTTTAACTTGTCTTCTGACATTGACATTGACATGTTTTCACAATTTAACACAACTTGTACTGGCATTCTTTCGAATTACAGTAGTTTCAAGACGGAATATATTGTTTGTGTTCAAGACAGTAAATGTGCCGATGATTGTTGAAACTCTGCAAAGATTCATGGATAATTGGTGTTACCAAGGAACGTGTTCACACCATCAATGAAAACATCATCATCAATGAAACTTTCAGGATAAATGTTTTCTAAATATATATAAACAAATTCATGCTTTCATGTGTGTTTACCCAGTACATTCTAAGCACTTGAAAACATAATGTAAATAGAGACTAATTGTGTTTAACTGTTACATCTGTTTTTATTGCCGTTATGAATATTTCCCACAATGTAAAAGTTGATAAGACATTTGGCTCCAAAAAATACCCCTGCAGATAGTTTTGATATATTTCCTGCAAGGAAAGATCTATGTGAAGTCTTTGATTTTCCAGATTACAGCCTCAGATTTGCCAAATCCTTGGGTATTCAACATGGTTTTATAGCCTGCATGATGAAATACGTACATTACATTGTTGAAATTATTTGTTAGATTTCTCCTGCAATAAATGACACGCACGTAATCTATCTGCATCCATGCGTGTAGCTGTAAGTTTGAATTAATGTGTTTTTACAGATACAAAGTTCATTTATATTTCATCAGTGTCTTCTCTATAGTAATGTACGTTGAGTAAAGAATTGCAAGGTCCTTGAGACGTAATAATTGAATTGATGTAGTGAGGAACACTGTTCATTTGAATTACGTCTATTGACCATCTCATCTCTAGTGTAGACTTGTGTCACTTGAAAATAAATTTTGTTGAGCATGAATGCTAAGTAAGTTTATCATAAAAATATGCATGTACAGTATGTAGTTATTGCACTCTGTGAAACAGCATAGTTTGATTGCATTGCTATTGCTTAGATCTAACATTTTTAATTAGTTTTATTTGGGTATTTTGGTTAGACATCTATGAAATGAACAGACTCATACATGTATCAGACAATATTCAAACTTATATTGATACATGATTCCATGGAAACAAATTCCATTTTCTAACACTATCCATTAGGCCAGGCATCTTTAAAAATACAATTTTTTTTCTATCAGTAAATAGCAATATAAATTAAAACTAGATTCTAGATAAGAATGTGTTAACAGCGTTATTGCAAAATATAGGGTTGTTACATTTTGGAGATAAAAATAAAATTTCGTCTTAATTTCACAAAATGTTTAGAAGTTTGTTCTGAGTTTTGCCATCTCACTTTCAGCAGAGGTACATTACTTGGGGTTTGCAACTCGCATAGTACTGTAGGGTGACATCATGTCAAGATCCCATTCAAGTCTCTTATCGTGGATAGCGAGACTGAGGCTACGACCTTCTGACATGACACATATCAATGTTCAAGGTTTGTAATGAAAAAATACAACTGTTCTTGTTACTATCATAGTGAAAAATGTAATACATCGAAAATGTACAGAAAATATAGTTCTCGTAATCAGTCATATCGTGGGC